GGCATGGCTGTGTCTCAATGAAACCTTTATTTACAAAAACTGGTGTCAGGCTAGCACTGGCCCACTGGCCATAGTTTGCCAACCCCTGGATTACACAGAATCATCTGTATGATAACACTAGCTCCGCAATCAACATGCGCACAAACTGAGGCCGCATATCCTACGGCTTTCTCATATGGCCTTGTCACATGTGCCAGAAACTATGTTAAACAATTTAGAGTCCATACATTCATTGTATGCACATTCACATTTCTTACCAAGAATTTTTCTTGCTTTTTAATATAGCTTTTGCCATTTTATAATTTAAAAATGGAAAAGTGTCACAATTCATAGCAACTATGTACCAATAAACATTCATAATAATATGTTTCCTATTTTAGTTGACAATGACTAAGTAGGACTTTTTAATAACATCTACAGCCAGAAACTGGTGGTAGCACTGGCAGAGGTAAGAACTGCAAAAGTCCGAGAATCAAAATGAATGTCAAGAGTTAAAGCAGGAGATAGGCTGGTGACCTCAAGGGGGAGGAGGGAGGCTTCATGTCAGGCCAGCAGAAATAAGAACTGCGAGGCTCATTTGGGTCAGGAGCTCCAAATGTCTCATGCTCCTCAGGGCTCCACGTGCTTCACTCCTGCCAGTCCTCTGTTAAAAAGCAGTATTTCAAGCCATAAGGAGAAAAAAGGTGGTGATATTAGGATCCTGAAGTCCCAAGGAGCCAAGAGTGAATTATGGCTGTGACAGCCACACTGTGGACAATGGTCATGGTGAAAAGTAAGTTGATGAGACACCTGGCAGCAAAGTAACCCTGAAAAAAGCACTGACTCATGGGAAACATGGACTGACCAGTGGTAGGAAGAAAATAAGTGTAGCACAAGCCATCCAATGCAACAGCCTAGTAATATGGGTGAGTGTGCAGTTCTGACCACTCTTTTCCCAAGGTCATTTCATGTCACCACATGGGTTTTTCTGCTGTTTCCTCTCCTAGGTTTCTGTTTAAATCTCACCCCTCTCACATTCTCCTTTTCCCTTTCCCCTGCCCCTCCCAACTCCTCATTCAACTGATTCACTTCTACTCCATCATAATGCTCAGGTGTCATTTCCTCCACAAAACTGTCCTTCAGGCTGGGTTGGATGCTGCTTCTCTTTCCTTCTACAAGCTCCAGGGGATCAAGGGTATGTCTCCCAGCCTCCCCACACCATCAGTTTTACCTACACTGCAACAACTAAATATCTAGCACGGTCTTCTGCACCTAATCCACAGCTTATCTTATGTGCCTGAGCAACTAAAGGTCTGAATGGATGTCACATATGCAGACAGCAATTACAAATGAGGAAGAGAATGAGTGCTGTGTGGAGGGGGAGTGACTACGGCCAGACGAGAGCACTGAGTATTGAGAAACTTGGCTTCAGGTGGTCAAGATCATGAACTTACAAACATCTGGACTTGGTTCAAAGCACAAGAGCCCTCAGGGAGGACAAATCTATCCTGACCTCTGGGAAAACATCTCAAAGTGCATAATGGTGGCTCAGCACCACCAAAGGGCAGCTTGTTGCTACATTATTACTACAGTTCCAATAGAAAGGCAGCGACAGTTTCAAATCCCAACCAGGGAGTTGTCCTATATTCCAAAAGAAAGCTTCTACTGCCGGACGTGGTGGCTCACACCTGTAATCCCAACACTTTGGGAGGCCACGGCAGGCAGATCACCTGAGGTCAGGAGTTCAAGACCAATCTGGCCAACATGGAGAAACCCGGTCTCTACTAAAAATATAAAAAAATTAGCCAGGCATTGTGGCAGTGGCCGGTAATCCCAGCTACTGGGAGGCTGAGGCAAGAGAATTGCTTAAACCTGGGAGTTGGAGGTTGCAGTGAGCCAAGATCGAGCCATTGCCAACCTGGGTGACAAAGCGGGACTCCGTCTCAGAAAAAAAAAAAAAAAAAAAAAAAGAAAGAAAAGAAAAGAAGTCTTCTACTGTGCATATATTTCTAATTCCTATATACATAATATCTGAATTTTACAACCCAGACTTTCCAGTAATTCAGAGTGGCCTTCACCATAATTCGTTTCTACAAAGTAACCATTTCTCATCAGGCAGCTGTTGATAAACTTTCTTCATTCCAGTAATGTGGCATGAGAAAATGACCTTTTTGCTTTAATAAAAATATTGTTATGCTAGATACAAAATATGTTTCTACAGTTAAACTGTAACAATAAGACTGGAAGATTTACTAGTAGAGGAAGGGTGTCCCCCTGTGATAAACAATCATTTAAAAAGGAGACAGAGGATAATTTGCCTAACCCTGCTCTGTAGCTAAAATGAGCCAGGGGTGTGCTCCTTAAACACTTATCAAGTCGCTGCTGAGCCTTCTCAGGCCATTTAACTTTGGAACAGAAAGGGAAGTTTCCCAATGCATAACAGAATCTTAAATTCTTCATATGTAATACTTAAGATGAACTTTAAACAGAAAAGCTACCTGCACACAAGACATCATGTCTTGTACTCAAACTATGCAGTCAATAAGAAAGCATAATGCTAGCGGGGAAGGCACCACGTACTGAAGCTAGCCAGAGTTTATTGAGTGCTTACACTTAGCCAGGGGCCATGGATTATGACTTTTAATTCTAACCGCCACACAATGCGGGTACTCTTATTGTTCCTCCCATTTTATAGATAAGGAAGTAAATTTTTAGAAACCAAAGTCAGCAGCTACAAAAGTGGCAGACGCAAGACTGGAACCCAGGTTGCAGAATGCTGGTCCATAATCACACCTGCATGCAATTGTGCTTTCCAAAACATACATCAGAAGCATATTTTGGGAGGTGGGAAGGATGCAATGATCGTCCATACCACCAACAAATCAGATGGGGCCAAGGAAAGCTGATAGGATGATACCATCTCTGTCTACCTCTGTCTTTTTCCCTCCCACTTCTAAAAAAGCTTTTTAACATTGCTGGAAAATAAAGTCGCAGAGCAGATGAGAAATTATTATAAATTTAGTGAGGGAGGCAGAATGGTAAAATGAAAAGAATCCTTGATTTAGAACTACAGTGTTTGTGTCCTGGTCCATAGCAAAAACTAAGTCTCATGGCCCTCATTATAAACCTGTCATGATAAGATACATCTCACTCTTTTGTTGTCATCACAATAGTGAGAACATATAAGGGAATGTGTCTGGCACTGTGCTTGGCAGAAAAGAGGTACTACAATTTTTTTCCCTTCTTTATCTTCAGTTCCCATATCAAAATACAAGCAGGCATTACCTAGTTATACAAGATAAATATTCCCTGGACACCTCCAATGCACTCACCCACCAGGGAACACCTTCGAAGAGGTGTCTCTCTGCTGTTGCTGTGAGTTTTTCAACCACTTACATACTGCTTTCTATTAACAGTAAATAAAATTGTCTAGATAATGCAAAAATTTCATGCTTTCAATGTAAAGGTAGTATTTCAGGCTAAGGCAGAAAAGGAAGAGGAAAAAAAGACCATTAAAATAAATATTAAAGGAGACTTCAGAGCAAGAAGTACTCAATATCCAAGTACCTTAATCATCAACTAAAAAGAGTAAATCTGCCTCTATCACTCTCCATCCTTCTCTCACACAACACAAACTAGTAGTCTAAAAAAAAAAATCATAGTACAGTATAGGAAATATTCAGACCTTTTTCCTGAGGGCTTAAAAACTACAAAAGAGAAATTGTGTGACAAGTAAATCTTTTAAATCCCCCATCAACAGCCTTTGATGCAACTCCATCTTGAAACCAGACTTGTACGCTTTAAAAATGAAATGTTCTAAGTAAAGTGAAGTTGTTTTTTATTTTCAGAAAAGGCGGAGAAATCGCCGATTTAAAAATAAAAGGGCTTTAGTGAAAAGTTCATAGTTTTGAGATATTTGCTTGGCCATTAAGAAGGTGGAAGCTCTACTGGGTAGAAACCACCATTCTTTGAGGTCTGAGACTTTAGACATCACTCTCTCTCTCCTCTCATTCTTACAGACTCTGTCTCTCGGTCACAGTTGCACATTGATCCTCTCGTTCCAGCCAGACTACAGGGTCTCCAAAGTGTGAAGCATACGGCCCCTCAAAGTGTTCGGGAAAGCTGCTCATCAACATCCCTACAGCTTGTCATCAAGCAAACGGCAAATCACAAACTTGCTTCCTCAACCCCGGAAGACGCCAGGTCCCCAAGGAAATGAAGATTCCTTCTACCCCCATAGGAAAGCTACCAGGTTTCAGTTCTTTCGCTTTAGTTTTTTAAAGACAAAGAAAAAAATTAACCGAACACACACGTTTTCCTACCATTCTCATATACTTTTTAAAACTCCCTCCAACTTCTTCCTTCACGTTGGAGAAATTCTTAATAAATAATGCCTGCTTGAAAGACACCAGAAACTCATTTTGAGGACAGAGTTTGTAGAAGACAAGGCAGAGAGATGAGTGGGCAGAGTTGGGCTGAAATTTTTAAATTCCTGCACTGCAAAGCAAGCGTGCGTGCGGGTATCTGTTTTCAAACAATAAAAGCGTCTAGAATGCACAATGATGCAGAGCCATGCGAGGTGCGAGGAGGAGGAAGCTGGTGGGCTCCGTGTCACAAAGGCTGGCAGGGCAGCTCGAGAGCCAGAGTCACCACAAGTCCGCGTCCCAGGCTCGCTGCTGCCTCACATTGCATCCGGTCCCAAAGCCAGCTGCCCAGCGGAGAGAAGCCGAGCGGCCGCGGGCATATCTCTTGGAGGGCTAGGCTGGGGGAAAGTGAGGGGAGACCGCGGGCGCGCGGCGGGTCCCGGGAGGGAAAGGACCAGGGAGCCGGGGATCGACAGGGGGGATGTGGCCGAGGCGCATTAGCTCCGGCTGCAGATCTTGCCCGGGTAGGCGACCCGGAGACCAGAATTGGTGACCGACGGGAGGGGGTAGGGGCTCCCGGGGGCCGCAGGTCGAGGCGCGTGAGCGGAACACGAAGTGTGCGCGGCCCTGTTGGGGGAGCGGGGGCGCGTGGGTCACCTGTATTGTTTGAAAAGCTGGTCCGACTCCCTGAATCCGTTGTTGAGCAGCATGTTGATGCCAGCCAGGGCCAGCTCCGCGTCCTGCAGGGGAGCCGCCGCCGCGTCCGCCGCTGCAGCGTCCGAGTCTCCGTCGTCCCGCCGCCGCGGCCGCTGCTGCTCGGAGCCGGCCATGGACGCCCAAGGCCCTGCGTTGGGCCGAGGCGAGGTAGGGAGCAGCTGCTGCGGCCGCACGCGCGCCCGGAGCCCGGTTCTACCTGCCCGGAGCCGAGCGGAGCCGGGAGGGGAGGGGAAGAGAGGGGAGGCGAGGGAGGAGGAGGGAAAGGCCGCGGAGGGAGGAGCCGCGGCCGGGCTGCAGCGCGGCGGGGGAGGTGGGCGCCCGGCCGCCGCCGCGGGGATTACTCAGCAGCGCCCGCCCGCTCCTCTCGCGCCCTCCGAGGCACCCGGCTCGCGCGGGCCCCGTAGCGGAATCCGTTTCCGGGTGTCTCTCACCCCGCCGAACCGGTCCCCGAGCCGCGGCCGCCTCCGCTTCCTGCAGACCCAGTGGTCCGGCCCCTCCCGGGTCCCCAAGCCGCTTCCTAGCCCACCGCCCCGGGCTGCTCGGACACAAGCACGCGGGGCCAGGAGACCCGAGCGCCCCACCCTCCCCCGAAGGGGCCGTACCCAGGAGTCCGGGGGAGGGCAAGGCGCGGAGGGAGAGCGAGCAAGCCCGTGTGGAAGGAAAGGGAAGGGGACGGGGATCTCCGGCCGGGCCGCAACGCCAGCGCTCAGCGCTTTGTCCACGAGTGACTGAAACCCCACGCAGCCCGCGCCCGCTATGCCGGACTTCATCCCGACGCTGATCCCGACGCTGCGGCCGCCCCCCAGGACCTGGGCAGCCAATTCCCAAGGAGGTGGGCGGTGGGGGCGGGGCCTCTGGCACCTGTCGGACCACTCCCCAGACTCTTGCGCTGCGGGACTCCAAGGGAGAGGCCCCGGACACCTCGATCCGGGTACCACCCACTCCAGCCCGCCACCAACATTTGCTCAATGGGGCAGGAGGAGAAATGGAGGTCTATATGCCACATGCCCAAATACTTAAAAGTTACAAATTAAGCTGCTAAAGTGTGTTCTGTTCTCACACTGCCAATTATTCTTGCAAAGCTTTGGCTTTCATATGAACAAATGTCAGCAGAACATCAACGGTGACTGAATTTAATCATGATCGCAGAGTCTGACTGTTCTGATGATGGCCTGGTGATATCTGGATGACTAATATTCTAGAGACAAGCAATATTCAAGACATAAGTCATTTTTATGTTTTTTCCATATTTTTCTCTAATTTAACAAAATCCCTTCATATAGCGTTGCAATCAATATTATGTTCTTAATGCCAAATTAGACAACCTTCCTTGAGTCGCTGTCATTCTTATAGTGTGGTTTATTCATTCAACTTGGAGTAACTTTGCTGAAGCATTTACAACAGAATTTTTAAAATGAACGCGATCCTCAGGTTTAGAAATAACTCATGAATTTTAAGCATTATGTCATCCATTATCATGGAACCAATATGATAAATTTTTACAGAAAAATGCAAAATAATTTTGTTATATAAGTTGCTTTTACTTATTTTGTAAATTGTACCGTCCCTCCTTATATCAAATCCATACAGGATTTCCAACCTTTATAAATAGAAATTTTAGAGTAGTAAGAATTACCGCCACTCCTTAAGTGCCATGTGTAACTGTTGCAAAACCATGCTAATTCTTGAGTACATCTGGAACCACAAACTGGAACACTGACAGAAGCAAGAAAATGGATGATTCTCACCCTTGGGAAACAGTACGTTGTAATGCAGGAATTACTGCATTTGTGCTGTCTGAGAAGAAGGATTTGACAAGCTGACCTTTAAAAAAAAAAATCTAGGTTTTCTTGGATTTGACATAATGTTAGTCTCAAACATCAGCAGTGTCACCATTCTTCATGGCATCGAGACGCTGTAACGTTTTGTTTTTAGGGGATTGAGCTAAGCATTCCCTGGAGGCTGCATGGTGTCAATCATGCAAATGGATGTCAAGGTTATGTACCCCACTGAGGCAGCATTGAATGCCACATCCCAAGTGACAGAGGTGTCTGTATGTTCTTTAATAAATGTATTTGTGTCTCTCGTGTGTGTGTGTGTGTGTGTGTGTGTGTGTGTGTCTGTTAATGGGCAGGGCCCTCAAACACAGGTCTTAGGGACTGTATGCTCCCTATGAGGTCCACATGAGGCCATTGCCATGGAGGGAGCCCTTGGCCACACACTGCCAGAGGTCACCCTGACAACATGCACTTACAGGCTGCTGGAACTTTGGATCTGTGGAACCATTCGCCAGATCCCTAAAGCAATCTAGTCAATAAGGGAGAGAAACCAAAAGCAAAATATCAGACATTGGAGATAGCCTGTACTCCCCCAGCTGGGAAAGACAGCCAAGCACAGTCCTATACGTCTCTGTTACTGGGAAGAAAAAATTTAAAAAAAGAATTTCGAGGAATTGATGAATGACACTATGGACACTGTTTAAGAGTTATAGTTGAGTAGTTGAGGCCCTGCAGCTGAGGATGGGGGGAGGGGTGAGCAAAGTCAGAGCACTCTTTGTGGGGCTACTTCTATCTGAAGGACCTCACACAGTCCGTTGTGCAGACAGGGAAATTTAATTGCTGAGCAATTAAGGCACGGTCCAATGCAACTGCCTAGCACCCCACAATAGGCAGGGAAGGGGTGGCATGGATAGAGAGATAACTCTACCACGTAATACACACCAGATACGTGCAAAATTGGATTTAATCAGGTACCAAAACAGTTACATTAACATCATCATCATGAAGGGACATTTAAAAATATTTGCCTATAGTGAGAGATACAAAAAGATTCAAAACGGGCCCCCAAATCCTGAAAGAAGAGAAATGCAGACTCCTGATACTTGGGGCAGCTGTAGCTGGCATTGACACATGCCCAGGGTTCACCTTACAAGGGACAATTAAGGCTGTGTTTTCTTCACTCAATAAAAATGGCGGATTATAAAGGCAGAGAGTGGTAGCTAAGAAGTCATGGTGCAAATTACCCACAAAAGGAAGGAAAATCTAGATTACTAACACTCCAGGGCACCATACACTTGACATTGAGATTCTCAGCACCTTCCCGAATGCAGCCTTCAGTGCACTTGACTTCAGCCAAATAGGATTTACCCAAGTGTTTCCTTTGCAAGTTGAGAGGCAGAGAGAGTGGGGGAAAAGGGAGAAAAAGAAAAGAAGGCTAGCGAGTGGTGGAAATAACCCACTTCCTTTCTGCAGTGGGTGTTGCCAGTATTTTGTGGTACTTCATGTGATTTCATTATGAAAATGAAACTTTAATTTCAAATGATCAGTAAAAGAAGATTTAGACACGTATGTTACCTTTTATAAGGTAGATTTTTAAAAATAAGGTGTTGTAGTTACAAATGACAGGAAAACCTGACCCAAACTGGCTCAGAAAAGCAAATGTATTGATTGATGTAGAGCAGTTTTACAAAATGAGGCTGTATCCCTGGCTTCAGCACTAACTAGGACCCAGTTTCTCCTCTTCGCCTCTTAGCTTTGCCACTTTGGTGTTTAATGGCTCTATTCCTAGACAGGGCCACCTCTCCTGATCCCAAAAGACTTTTGGAAGCTCTCAGAGCTACATGCTTGCCAGCTAGATCCAGCAGGAAGGTATTGCTTCTCTAATAGCTTAACCAAAGTCCCCTAATTGAACCGTGCTGGCTTTGATTGGCAAGATTGTAGTCAGGTGCCCATCCTTGCACCAGCTGATGTGACTAGGAGGAGTAGATCACTCTAATTAGATTAAGCCAGTCAGGGTCTGCTCCAGGACCTGGATGGGTAGAACCTATTTCACCCAAACTATCTTGCTGGGAAATCCCAGATCTGTTAGGAAAAGAGAGGTAGAGAATGGATATGAAAGGGACAATCAACAAACATACCTACCCTTGTCTTCCTGAACAAGTTTTGAATTTTTGGAATTACATTCTCTTTTTTGTTACTTGAGACAGGGTGTTGCCACTCTGTTACCCAGGCTGGAATGCAGGGGCGAGATCATGGCTCACTGTAGCATTGACCTCCCAGGCTCAAGTGATGTCCCTACCTCAGCCTCCTGAGTAGCTGGAACAACAGGCATGTGTCACCACACCCAGCGAATTTTTGTATGTTTTGCAGAGACAGGGTTTCACTGTGTTGCTCAGGCAGGTCTCAAACTTCTGACCTCAGTTGATCCACCCACCTCGGCCTCTTAGAGTGCTGGAATTACAGGCATGAGCCATCCATGCCTGACCTGGAATTATATTTTAAATGCATTCGAAGAATAAAATATCACAAGAAACTTACTGTGTGTACTTTAGTTATATTACAATTTTTTGGTGATGCTAACAGTCATGGCTTCAGGCATCTTTTTATAAATCCATACTATCCATTGAAATAAATACAGGTTCCCAGATGGTCTGGAATTCTAAGAAGGAAGAGAGTAGGGAAATTAATGTCACAATTTTTACGTTGTGCTAGCTTTACCCATTCGGCTCTTCTACCGAAGGTGAAGTAAGTTTTAATTAGCTACTTTTAACTAGAAGGCAAATCAGGTCAAGGGTTACTATGTAAAACCTATTAAATTGTTTAGCCTAAAGCTGCCTCCTTACATATTTTAGCCTAAAGATTTCTCCATACTTAGTGAACTGTAGTCTAACTGGATGCATAAACAGACTGTAATGAACTCTTGTAACAAGTAGCCAAGTTTCAGCCAATCACAGCAGCTAACTGTTCAAACCATGGTCAAATAAGGCAAACCCCAAGCTGTAACCAATCTGACTGTTTCTGTATCTCACTTCTGCTTCCTCTACCTCACTTACTTTCTTCTGCCCATAAATCCTCTCTGATGCATGACAGCGCCAGTTGCTCTGAACCTATTCTGATGGTGGGGTTGCCCAATTCTCCAATTGTTCTTTGTTCAATTAACTCTGTTAATTTATCTAAAGTCTTTCTTTTAACAAATCATACAGCAGAGTCCTGCCTTTTCTGCTCACAGGTGGGTCACTAGCTTGCCTCTAAGGAAGGGAACATAGTGGTGGGCTGGTGGGGTTCACCTGGCTGTTTTTGTAGATGGATATGTGTCCCTGAGAGGACACTCGTGTGGCTGCCCTGGGAAACCACAGCAGTTACCATGGGGCAGGAAATCATCCCCTTTTGGGTTGGACGCCTCCTCACCTGCCTTTCCATAAACCAGATAGCCA